ATGGAAAAGGACAAGGAAAGGGTGGGGGGCGGGCAGGAAGCCTTTGGTTCTTTGGCCTCTGTACTTAAAATCCTAGACAGACAGTGAGTTCAGCCAGGACTCTTCCTACCTCGTCGGGTCATCGTGCATCTTTTTCTTGCTTTATGAGTAAATCTAACTCACTGCCATCCACACAAGTAATAAGGCCGGCGGCAGGTTCTGTCAACATGAGTTCGATGTGTGTTTCGGGCATCTTTTGGGGAGCTTAGATTCACTTTGTCATTCAGACCCTGACAACGGTAATGGAAGGTCTTAGGCCACATTATAAATTTCATGGAGCTGAGGCTGCAGAAGTCTGTGCTGCTTAGCATGTCAGCTGACTCTTCATTGGGACAAGTCTACAAAAGGCCTACCTTTCATAAGGCCCCTTTTTGCCCTGGAGACATTCTAAAAGGGAGAATTTGGTGTTGGTGAACTTAAATGATTTTTGCTAAGTTGGCTGACTGAGGGAGGCAACGAGAGAGGATTTCGATCAGATGCTTTCCATCTCACGATCAAGGGTCAGCTCTCTTCACAAATAATCCTTGAATACATTTGTCTAAAATCTGAAGAAGCACGGCAGCCATTTCCATGCTGCTTTTGGTATGGGTAAATAACATGGCCTTTCAGATAGATTTAGTGTTTTGGTTTTTATTTCAAAGTTACTATGTAGAATCTTTGAAATGATGAAGCTAAATTCAATAGAAATGAAAATACAATATAAATTGTGGGTCATGGCCCTAAGCTAAATATTGATTTAACCACCTAAATAACTCAAAGCTCTAGGAAGGAGTGTACTTTCAAAAATTTCATAGCCTTCTTCCAGATTAGCAATAATTACAAAAAGAAGAACAGGGCCAGGGGGTGGAGCTCAACTAAAATATCCTTAACTTGGCATAAGCAGTGATCGTAAGTTCTTTTTCCTGGGACATCTATATACCTTGAAAGGTAGGAACTTCTGTTCACGTGATGCATAAGCCTGCACAAAGTCAAGAAGCTCCTTACTAGACCTGGATATCCAGAATTTAAAAGCCTAATGAGTTGGCAGCACCAGCGCCTCATACAAAGGCACCCCACAAAAGGCTGTCCATTTCTTTTTATAAATTTAATGAACTTTTAGCTACTTATTCTGTGCCTGGTAGCATGCTGAGTGCTCAGGCTGGCATTCCTACCCTCCCACCAGAACCAACCAACCAACCAACCTCAAGCAACAGAACACATGGTTTGGACCTGACCAGGCAGAACTTGGTCAGGCTGACCTGGGGGAAAGCCAGTTTTCCAGCACATTTCCCTCCCAGCTTACAGGTGTGTGAATTGCAATGACAGATGGTAATGGCTTCACCTATGGCGCTAACTCATACATTTTAATGAGATTTGCCCCTGAATAGCAAACCAGACTAAATTCATATTCATGCAAAAAATTATTTAAAATTGTCTTTCACCAAGGCCCATTTATGAGCAGAGCCATACTTTGTGAATTTCTTTGAGTGTTATATGAACATATCTTTCAAATATCTAGTCAGGTTCCAAGTAAGATATCTGAGCTGTGGGGTTTTTGTTTTGTTTTTTTTCTTATTAGCAGTTATAACGACGTGAGTCTGATTTTCAGGATTTCAGAAGTGGGCATTCAAGACCACAGGCAGCTGTCAGAGCTGGACGACAATTAGTGTGGTAAAGATCGAGTGACTTTTCTCTGGAAACGGTCAGTCCATAATACAACTTGCACCTGACATAACAGTTTCGGTCAACCATCTTCCTCTGGCTGTCCCCCACCCCCGCATTTAAGCCCTTGATTTGAAATGGTCTATAAAGATCCTTCAGTGCTTTCCGTAGTTTGATGACTAAGAAGCCAGACTTTTGTTGAAAAGGGAGTTTGTAAAATGAAACTGAACTTTATTATTTATAAAACAGTGACTCCATCAGATTCCAGTCTCATACGGCCTTAGCCTGTTTGTAATTCATAAAGATTTGCAGAGTGGAGAGAGAGAACTGCCTTTCTCTCTTGAAAAGAAGTTTAATGAAAATATTTTACTGTTAGGCCCAAGAGTTTTCAGTATTGCGTCAGAATGTGTGAGGGGCACATGGCTTCCTGGGTGATGTGACATATTCTCTTATAATTCTGAATCAATAATTTAAAAACAATTTTTTTTTAATCTTACGTCTTCATGCTTATCTGAAATGGACCGCACAACTGGTTTCCTGTCTGTCCCTGCTTTCTGGCTGGGCAAGCGGGACACTTCCCTCATTATTCTTCGTAGGGAAGTCCTGAGCAATCGTCTGTAACCATTAATTGATAAACTGGCGATGGGAGAAGGTCCACTTTGCTCCAATTCCCCAGCTACCACCAGAGCAGCGTTCGTGATGGAAATGCAATGCTTGTCCTCTTCTTAGCAGGCTGAAGAATTCAGTGTAAAATCAAGGCCTCCGAAAATTTTTGTTCTCTTATGTCACAGTTTGACATGTGCTTTTAAAAAACAGCATTTGCAAAACTAGTCTTTAAGCATTGTGAGTCAGAGGTGACAAAGGCGTATAATGAACAAAGGGGCACACGGTGCGTTAGAAATAGTATTATTGTCGTGAGAACAGGGGTGAAAGCAACCCAGCCGCCACCGAGATACTGCTAGCGGCACCACAGTTACTGTTAAAGGTCAAGGTTTTGATTTACTAGTTTATAATCTTATTTTTTCCAGGCCAAACAAATCAATTTAATGTTATAGCTTATTCTTTTTATCCTTTTTTTTTTTTTTTGGCCTGAGGGTGGGGGGGGAGTTGTCAACTACACAATCTTTGAAGTGTAAGTTAATTTTTTATGTGATATTTCAGTATATATTTTATTCATTAAATTTATTTGAAAATTTCTCTTGTCTATTTTATTAAAAATATTTATTCTTAGACCTCCGCCTTCTGGGATCCCTGAGGAGAACAGGCAATGTCATACTCAGTGGATGGGTGACTTGTACTAGTACCTAATACTAAGACTAATGTCCCCCGCCCCGTCCTCGTGGACCTCTCCAGACAAACGCACATTTATGCCGTGTCAATGAATGAATTTTGTTGTGCTTACCTCTTTATTAACCAATTTTTAGGTCTAAAATACTGCACTTAAATTCTGGTCTGTCTTGATTACTGCTAGTCCCCAGCACCTAAAACAATGGCTGCTCTTAGGACGTCTTTAGAATGAAGCTTTCTTAGAAAGGTTAACAGCATTTGAAACAGTATGCTCCATTTCGTTTAGAATTATTCAGCACTGGAATGTGCTGTTTCTGAACACTGCTGCAGCGATGCTGGAGCCATTTTGGCATCAGTGACACAAACAGAGGTGAGGCTGCTGGTCTTGTGGAGGTAGCACCCAGGGCACGGGGTCAGGGGTGGCCATCTGGCTTGGCCTGGGGATGGGGAGAGGCCGGCGTGTCGAGCTCAGGCCGTCAGGTTTCACAGGCTCCACTTCTGTGTCCGTCAGAGGGACCTGAAACACTGCGTGATGACAGCTGCTTCTCCAGTATCTCCTTTATCACAGTCGGATCTGCTCGGTTGACAGTCGCTTTCCGGACCAACCCAATCAGTTTATTTATAGCTCTGGGGTTTCCTTTCTTCATATCCATCACCTTTAAACACAGAAATTGTTTTAGAGAAGAAAACAGACTCATACCTAAAAATCCTAAATTAAGGTTTATGTTTACTGAAACTTAAATTGTTTTTTTTCTTTTATTATTAGAAAATAAGAAAAGGAAAAAGGGGAGGGATGAACTTTTGAGGAAGTTTCTAGGCTCCCATCAAAGGAGACATCACTACTCTGCCTTCCAATTAAAGTGGCCAAGAGGACTGTGATGCAGCACAAATGAATGCTGAGAGCCAGAGAAGCTGGCACACAGGGACGAGGGTGCTCTTCCCGGGTGACACCAGGACGTGGAGCTTTTCAGCCTGTGAGTGAGTCACCTCTCTCAGGCGGAAGACCCAGTCTAATCAGGGCGAGGCTCCTCTCTCATCCACTGCAATGCATAGCTTTCTCCCCCACTCGATGCCAAGAAGATTTGTTTGTTAGAAAACAAATCCACAAACGGCAACTCTCCCAGAGCATCTGGGTGGGGGGCGTGCACTGTGGTGGGCAGGATGGGGACAACAAAGGCAGGAGGTGCTGAATTTCTATTAAATAGCCACCGGCAGCCGGGGCACCCGCTCTGACCTCCTGCTCTGCCGCATCTTGATCAGCAGTGACGCCTGTGAGAACCTGCACTCAGTGCCGCAGAGTGAGTCAAACTAAAAGTGTGTCTGTATCAGTCACTGCGGATGAGGCAGGAGGATGGAGTGCCAAAACCCAGTGCAAGCTCGTTTTCCTCATCAAGAGCTCTTCACAGAGCCGTTGGTGTCCTTGGCAAACTGATAGGTGGGTGGGTATTATTCTGAAAGAGGTGCTAGCCATTTTTTTCCCCACTGAAAAATATCTCTAGACAATGATTAGACTTGGGGAGGGAAGGATGCTACTCATTGTATTTTTTTCTATTTTGTTCTATGCTCAGAATACAAAATGACTGGGTTTTCAGCTATGTTCCTGTCAAGGATTTTCTCCATAATTTACAAATAATTTTCCTCTCTGCCTTTCTTCCCACTTCTTAACAGCATGAAGCTAAAGTATTTCCCGGTCTGTCTCCCTGTTCCGTGGTCACGCCTGCTGGTTCATTACTGACAGGTCCTCTGTAGAAGGCAGAGCCGCAGAGGACTCAGAGTGCCAACCCCGGGGAGGGTGGCAAGCTTAGGAGGTCAAAACTTGGATCCAGTGAGTGTGAGAACCACCTTTCAAATTGGAACTCTGTGAAATTAAACTGCAGGGGTAGATTCTCCTTTTCCTTGGAAAAAGTTATATGTTTCCAATATTCACCTAATTTTCTCTCTTGACATTAGCTAAAAACTGACAAAAATACTTATGGAATTACTGGTGAAACCGGGCCAGCCACTGGTAAGCAACGCCTCTGAGCTGCAACAGGAAGCAGTGGACAGGCTCTTGGCCATGTCCACAAACCCACCCTCTGCCAGCCAGGGCGGTGGCCCCTCGTTCCAGCTGCACATGAAGCCCTCTTCACCCTGCGGGTGGTAATTACCACTTGAGGATGTTCCTCCATCATGGCGTGGCAGAGCTGTTCCAGTGCCTCTTGATCCTGCATTAGTTCAAGCTGCTTTTCTGACACAATCTGCGCTGGAGTCTTCCCTTCATTCCTCCACAGTTCCTCAAACACCTACAGGCCAGAGATGGGAGAGAGGGACGAGAAGCCCGGAGTCAGCTCTTTTGTCAGCTCCACTTGCTGGGACAAGTAGAACGGAGGCAGGAAGAGCAGACTCGATGAATCCCCAGCTGTGTGGGCTTGGCCCACAGGGCGCCCCGTCTCTTCCGAGGCATCCAGGACCGAGGTTGCTCTGCGGGCCATGCAGAAACCCCTGGAATCTCCCCATGCTGAATGGCTTCCTCAGAGCGTGAGGCTGCACCTGCCGAGACAGGTACTCCCCACCTGCTGACTCAAACCACGGGGCAGGGACAAGCTGGGGAGGTATGAGATGATTACTCACAGGACCCCTGCTGATAGGAGTCAGGGGGCCAGGCCCAGCTTTGTCTCACGTCCCCTGAATTAACTGAGATGACATTGTGGTGAAGGATGGGGTCACACAGACTGTAGGAAGTAACCACTGTACTTAGATGACGTCCAGAAAACTCAGCCCGCTGGGAAACATGATTTTAAGGGCGTAAGAACGTGGCCTCATAATGAAGATAAAAAATAGAAAGTAACAAAAAACATAAATCATAATCCACAGGGACCCCAGCCTACCAATTCATTCCCTCCAGATAGAGCTGGCCCTGAATCTGGCTAGGATGATTAATATTTAATGGTGTTGGTATTTTTTCTACTTAAAAAGTGATAAATCTCCAAATTTATCCAAGTTGGAAAAAGAAAATATTTTTAAAGAAAGCATTGCCTAGGGTAGTCTCCCTTATACCTCTTATTTTTCTAGTGTAAGCTGGAAGAGGGTGGTTTTCCCGTTAGTCTCCTGAGGTACCTACTTCAACTCGGCCTGCAGTCAGCACTGAGCACTGAACACCCACTGACCATTCCAGTGAGGACGGGCCAGCCAGGAGCCAGCCATTCCTCCCAGAAAAGAAGCTAGTCAATAATTAGCACATAGGACTTTTGGTCAAGGTTGTGGAGTAGGTAAAAGTTGTGCTCCCTCCTCTCACAACCACATCAAAATTACAACTAAATTATAGAACTGTCACTGAAAACCACCTGAAGACTAGCTGAACAGAAGCCATATAAAGAAGCCAGACTGAGACTGGAAGGCGGTGCGGAGACACAGAATGGGCAGGTCTGACGTGCATGCTGTGGCAAGTAAAAATCGGGAGGGTTATCTTGGCTGCAGAGGACCCCCTGAGGAGCAAAGGGGCCCAGCCCCGGGCACCAGTGCTGGGAAGACGAGTCCCCATAACATCTGGCTGTGAAAAACCAGTGGAGATTGCATCTGAGTGAGATGGAGGGCAGCTGGGGGCTGAGGCGCTCCCCTTGAGGGGCCTGTGCATGGGCTTGCTCTGGCCCCAGCACATTGGCAGCAACTCAAAAAGCATCAAGGACATACAGGGAGGAATTAAATTGATGCTTCAGGGCTGGAGGATCAGGGGGTAATGGCAGATTTCACTGGGGATGGAAATGCTGGCAGCCTGGCACAGGTGGATGCTAAGTCTAAGCTGTCCATCAACCTAACACTTGTTAGCCTTGCCCTGGGGATTCCAAGAAGACCCCTCCCCACCCAACTTGCTTGCCTTAGTCACTTCTAGTGTCTCCTCCACACAAATGGCTTGCCTCAGTTTGTGCTGTGGACTTTCCTAAAATCTCTCAAAGGTCCACAGAGCGCAAAGCAACAGCAGCTGGCCTTGGCATGCCCTGTACCTCTTGCTAAGTGGCCCCAAGCCCAGCACAAGTGGCGGCTCATTTTGACTTGGAACATAGCTGCAGCTAAGTGGCCACAAGCCCGGCACAAGTGGTGGCTGGCCTCGGCTCATACTGTGGTGCCCACCAAAGGGTCCCAAGCCTGGTGCAACTGGTAGCCAGCCTGGGTTTGCAGCACAGCCTCTCCCAAGTGCCTCCAAGTCCAGTGCAAGCAGCAACCAACTACAGATCACTTTGTGGCCCCAAGCCCAGCAGAAGCGGTAGCTGACCTTGGTCTGTACAAGAGCCCTTCCCAAGAAGCTCAAGAACACCCAGTGGCCGGCTTCAGACCACACCAGACCACCACCTAACCAGCTCCACAAATGACATACCGGAAAGGCAAACTCGGCGGGCACCAGAGACCTGCTGAAGCGACTTATGCTTTGGGAGTCAGGCCCTGCACAATAGGCCCCTGAAAAGCTAAAGCGATCTTAAGAAGAACAAAGTTGGAGGTATCATGCTACCTGATTCCAGGCTGTACTACAGGGCTATGGCGGTCAAGGCGGGGTGGTGCTGGCGTGGGGATGGATGCGTGCTCTGATGGGGCAGAGTGGGAAGCAGGGGGGACAGTGGAGTGAAGAAAGACTCTTTGGTGGACGGTGTTAGGAAAGCTGGACAGATACATTACACTACATACAAAAATGAACTCAAAATGGATTGGGGACTTGGATGTGGGACCCGAGACAATGGAGCTCCTAGAAAAAAACATGGGCAGTAAACCCTTTGACATCACTCTCAGCAATATTTCTTTGGATATGTCTCCCTGAGCAAGGGAAACAAAAGGAAAAATAAACAAATGGAGCTACATTAAACTAAAAAGTGTTTGCACAGCGAAGGAAACCATAAACAGGATGAGGGACAACATACTGCGTGGGAGAAGATATCCACCACCGACACATTCGACGAGGGGTTGAGATCTAAGACGTGAGGAACTCATACAACTCAACACCAAAAAGAAACAAACACTGACTGAAGAATGACCTGAATAGGCATTTCTCCTGAGAGGACATGCAGATGGCCAACAGACATATGAAGGGAAGTGCAAGTTAGAGCCACAGTGAGCTATCACCTCGCACCTGTCAGAATGACCGTCATTAACAAACGACATTGGGCCAGGATGAGGAACTGGGCGAGCCCTCTTTCACTGCTGGTGCACCTGTAAATTGGTGCAGCCACTGTGTAGGGCAGTGTGGAGGTTTCTCGAAAAACTGGAAATTGAACTGCCATAGGACCCAGTGGTTCTGTATTTGGGTATTTATCCGGAAGTCCAAAACATTAGTTCGAGAGGATGTGTGCACCCCTACGTTCACTGCAGCATTACTTACAATAATTACTTACAATAGTGAAGATATGGAAGCAACCTTGGTATCCATCAACAGATGACTGGATAAAGAAGATATGGTACATAAATACATTGGAATATTACTCAGCCATAAAAAAAGAATGAAATCCTGCCATTTGTGATAACACAGATGGGCCTAGAAGGTATTATGCCAAGTGGAATAAGTCAGAGAAAGACAAATACCAAACTCATAGATACAGAGAACTGATGGTCATCAGAGGGGAGAGGAGTTGTAGGGTGATGGGTGAAAAAGGTGAAGGGATGAAGTACAAACTGGCAGTTATAAAAACAGCCGTGGGGGTAATAAAGTACAGTTTAGGGAATACAGATAATAATATTGTAATAACTGTGGTGTCATGTGGGTACGAGACCTACTGGAGTGATCACTTTGCAAGGCATATAAATGTCTAATCACTATGTTGAACATCTGAAACTAATATAATATTGAATGTCAACTGTAATTGAAAAAAAAAAACAAAACATACGGCAAAGCAAATTAAGAGGAAGATGCTTGGAGTCTCAGCAGGGCTCAAAGTTTTCTCCAATCTGAACCGAAACAAACTATGAATATTTATCATGGCTATGACAGGCAGTGTGCCTTCAGCCCAGCTATTGGAAGACCCACAGTGACTGGCCGAGAGGTGTCTTTAGTGGGTCCTTCTAGAAGCTCCCTCACAGGGCACACCTCTCGTTACCACCAAATAGCGCTGGCTGCTTAGGGAAAACCTGCCCCTCCTCTAAGAAAAATACAGACCATGCATGCCTCCAACTCAATTCTTCAAATATTCATTCAGCCCAATAATGAGACATTGAGAAAGAGGGGCACAAAAGCAGGAAAGATCTTTCCTTGCCCTCAACAAACTATTAATGGAGAATCAGCAGCATAGGAATGTGAACAGAACCATCTACAATGCAGGTTCCACTCAGGGAGCTGCCATGAGCAAATCTGAGTGGTTTCTCTGCCCCTTTTCCCTGATATATTTTTCTCGAATTAAGACTTAAAATTTTAAAAGTTTCTAATTATAAAATAATCTAATCATAAAATTATCGTTGCAGAAAATGAGGAAATATCGAAGAGATAAAAAATCACCTGTATTCCCATTCTTTCAAGATAATTTTAGTATTTTGGAGTTTTCCTGACCTATCTTTTTCTTTCTCAGGCCAACTGGAGCGTCAGCCTGTGCCTGGCACCTAATGTGGCTGCGACTCAACAGGCTCAATCACTGGTTTTGTAACATAGTTGTGATCGTAATTGTATAGACAATTTACGACCTGCTTTTGTTTTCACTTATTACAGAAATGCTTTCTCATATTAAAAACTAATATCAAATGTATTTATCACAATTTAATTGAATTATCCCCTACTAGTAGGTATTTAGACTTTGACCACTGTTTACTTTGTTCATCAATATAGTCTCCTAAAAAAGTTCCTAGTTGAAAATGTCCATCATGCAGGAAGAGAGAGTTGGGGATCTCAAGAGACATCTAGATCTCTGGCTCGAAATGGAAGTCACCTGCAAGGACCTGCTTATAAAGACTCTATGACGCAAGCTCAGCTGACGGGGCCTTACGGCTTGGAAGCAGGCACGCCTGCCCGCCTGCCTGCCAGTCACAGAGGTCACTTTCAGGCCTGCGTCTTTTCTGCCTTCTTGCCACAGCAGCCGCGAGCACAGAGCAGACGTGAGCAGGCCAACGAGAGCGTCAGCCTGTGCCTGGCACCTAATACGGCCGGGACTCAGCAGGCTCAATCACTGGTTGGATTCGCCTGAGTCAAAATAACCAGAATAGAGGCAATGTGAGGCAGCTTGGGATCACTGCCAAACCACACCATGCAGAAGGAAAGCAAGACAATGTTAGGATGGATGCTTTTAAATGCAGAGAGGCTGGCTGCTAAAAAGGGGGTTGCAGTAGGGGGTACAAAGGAGGGACACTAGAGAAACACAGTTCAGTGGTGTCCAGGAACAAATGACAGCCTGGTGGCTAGTACTCCACTCTCAGAGTTAGAACACATCAACTTATTAACTTCCCAAGTTAGTCAAGTGGCCACTGCAGCCCAGCCCAAGCCCCTTGGGCTGACACAGTAGACTCCAGTTGTCCAATCCTCTGCTCGTTCCTATTTAACAGACTGTACACTCCTGGCTGGAACCCGGCAGGGTGGGAACCACTGGAGGGGGCCAGGCAGCCTCCAGGCCAGACTCTGCAGGGCTCCCTCCCCTGGCCCGCTTGCCACAAAGTCTGGCCTCAGTAGTTGCCAGACTCATGCTGCAGCATAAATCCTCAGCTTTTGTCTGTGCTTAATCAGCACCCTGGGAAGTACTATCAAAGTAAAATTGTTTCTGGCCAGGTGTGTGGCTCCCAGGCCCTGCTGCTGCCCACCCAAGACAAACATAGAGAACAAGGGATTCCCAGTGCAGAGCTGGACATCTGTGTTAATAAGTGGCCACTAAAGGTATGGGGTAATGCAAGCTGGTAACACCCAATCACACACTGACCACCAGAGCCATCTCTGAAAGGAGGTGTCCCCTTGTGCATGGGGCTAAACTCAGCCTTTAGTTCCCTGGGGACAGAATTCACACACCCTCTTCACTACCCAAGTGTTTCTCCAACTAAAGCTAAGGACCTGGGAGGATGGAAGGAAAGCAAGCTGGCCCCCTGCCCGTCTCCGGGGTTTCCAGGGTCAGTGTGGAGGAAAGACCTGTTTAAAGGAGGTGGCAACCTACATGACATGGACAAATTCTGAGATGCGTACAACACTCCTAGACCGAATCTCGAAGAGGTAGAAAACATAAATAGACCAATTAATAGTAAGGACATTGAATCAGTAATCAAAAAGCGCCCCACCCCAAACAAAAGTCCTGGACAAGATGACTTTACTGGTGAATTCTGCCAAACATTCAAAGATTTAATACCAATCCTTCTCAAACTCTTCCAAAAAACTGAAGAGGATGGAATGCTTTCTAATTCATTTTGAGGCCAACATTACCCCTATATGAAAACCAGGCAAGAACCACACACACACACACACACTACAGGCTAATATCTCTGATGAACATAAGATACAAAAATCCTCAACAAAATACTAGCAAATTGATTACAACAATACATTAAAAGGATCACACACCATGATCAAGTGGGATTCATTCCAGGGATGCAAGAACGGTTCAACATCTGCAAATCATTCAACATGATACACCACATTAACTGACATGAAGGATTTAAATATGATCATCTCAATAGATGCATTAAAAGCACCTGCCAAGATACGACATCCATTTATGATGAAACTCAAAATGGGTTTGGAAGGAAAGTACCTCAACATAATAAAGGCCATATATGAAAACCCCAAAGCTAACGTCATACTCAGAGGCAAAAAAGTTTTCCCTCTATGAGCAGGAACAAGACAAGGATACCCACTCTTACCAGTCTTATTCACATAGTAATCGAAATCCTAGCCAGAGCAATTGGCAAGAAAAATAAATAAAAGGCATCCCAATTGGGAAAAAAATTAAAACTGACACTATTTGCCGATGACATGATTTTATATGTAGAAAACCCTAAAGACTCCACCAAAAAAAATATTAGAAATAATACAGTAAAGTTGCAGGATACAAAATCAATATATGAAAATCTGTTGTATATACTAACAACGAACTATCAGAGAAATGAAAAAAAAAATTCCATTTACGATCACAACAAAAAGAATAAAATGCCTAAAAATAAACTTAACAAAGGAGGTGAAAGACCCATACACTGAAAACCATAAGACAACGTTGAAAGAAATTGAAGACACAAAGAAATGGAAAGAGATTCCGTGTTCATGGATTGGAAGAATTAACTGTTAAAATGTTCACATTATCGAAAGCAATCCACAGATTCGGTGCAATCCCTACCAAAATCCCACTGGCATTTTTCATAGAAACAGAACAAAAAATTCTAAAATTTGTATGGAGCCACAAAAGACCCTGAATAGCCAAAGCAATCCTAGGAAAAAAGAACAAAACTGGAGGCATTCCACTCCTTGATTTCAAAGTATAGTACAAAAGCTACAGTAATTAAAACATTTTAAGTAATGCAGAAAAATATAGATTTTCAAATTCTACCGCCTTAACATAATTACCATTAATAATGGTTGAACACCATTCCAGGCATCTTTCCATGCATATGTCCCAGTAGAAGGATGGATTCTTTATAAAAACACAAATACCATTTTTATCACCAGAAAATCAGTAAGCGATTTTCTTAAAAACAGAGAAAGAAGTAGGAAAAAAAGCAAAACCCCCAGGGCAATGCTACATAAGGGAGATTCCTTTCTACACACAGTTCACACCTTTCAAATTAGACTTGTTTTACTTTGCCTCACTGAAGCCAGGATTCACCCACCTCCTTTAGACAGGCTGGAAGTTTGCTTAGAATTCCGAATTGTCTCTATGTGAACCAAGTTGTTAGAGTCTTCCAGCATTTTCCATTTCTTCCTAATGAACCTATCATATAAACTGCACTAGGTCTCCCTGCCCCCGCCAGCCCCCCTTTATTTGGTGGGGCAAGATGAGTGGGAAGGGGAAGATGTTTTTCCTTTCATTTTAAATGCTACACCTCATCTGCTTTTGTGTGCGTGTGTAGTTTTTCCTCTGCCCTCAGGCCATCTAATCTTTCTGCTACTGCTGAGCACTGTCATAAACATTTGTATTCCTCTGACATCCAGGCAACCAAAATCCTTTCCTAAATGTGACAGTGCCTGTAGCTGACAGCCTCATTTGGTGGTGGGTAAACAGAGTCTTTTATTAGTTCCCATCTCCAGTTTCACAGCAGAGATGAGTGTATGCTCCATGGTGCCTCATAATTAGCCAAAAGCAGCCACTTTCCCAAAGCTTCACTATTGTCAATGTGTATAAATATTAACTGCAAAAAGACACCATTAAAATAACATTAAGTTTCTGGCTGAAGCATTGACAGCTGCGATATCTGGAGTTGAGATCAGGAGGCCTTGGTGTTCTCTCTCTGTACTTATTTTCACAAGTTTTCAGAATTCCAGTAATCTTTCGCCCACCTAAAACTGTTGGGTGGAGGTGGAGATAAGGCAGAAGGCCACCTGTGAAGATGATGCTATTTTTCTGAGTTTTCACACACACTGGGCATGTTTGTAATACTTTCTCTACTAAGTGCTTTCTCTCCTTGTTGGAAGACTGACTTTAGCAGCGACCATGCAACAAAGCACGATGAGCAGCAGAGGGCAGGGAGCAGTGCGGCTGCCTCGGCCACCCAGGGCGCAGGGGAAGCGCGAGCAGTCTGAGGCCCCGGGAGCTGCAGGGCCCCTGCCCTTCTCATAACTTGCTTAGGAAACACTCCAGGCAAAGCCAAACTAGTAGCTATCCCTCCTGGTTAGCAAAAATGAGAAGCGAATCTCCTGCCTAGCAGATTCTGGCTTTATTTCATTTGCTAAATAAAATGTTTCTACCTTTCAGTATAAAAAGAGCACTTACAAGCATTTAATACTTCAATTATGAAATTCAATTAGTGATGGCATTTGAGTTTCACATAAAACATTTACTGGGATAGCAGAGCAGTCAGAAGCTTTAGGAAGTGTGGACATACCTGTTTAGCTGCTGCTGAAGAAATTGCTTTCCTGTCCAGTAGGTTGAGAAGCTCAGCCAGTGCAGAAGGTGTGACAGGACTAGCAGCCCCCAAGGAGAGAAAAGAAATTTGCATTGCACATTGTCATAGTATCCACTTACGATTATTCAGAATCTGAGCCCTTGATTTTGTAGATTTAGATAATTAACCTCCCGCCTAGGCCAATTGGGCTCTATTTTATTTGTTTTGTATTTTAGGATACAACAAATTTTGGTGACCAGTGTTTTTCTTTGTTTTACCACCCAACAATAACAGCTGTTTGGCAGAAGTTGTAGCAACAGACAACTGCTCAGTTTAATTAGTCAAAAAAAAGGAGGTGGCAGCGAAATTCATGAACTATGACAAGAAAAGAAAAAAAACCCCGGTAATTAAATATTTTCAACTGAAAGATCGGCCTAAAAATTACTTCAGACAAAAACAACTAACAAAGCCATTTTTTTGAGTGTTTTTGTGCAAATATAAATTCTTTTTAATTGTGAGAGCTTTTCTTCCAGGAAGCAACGACGGCCCGCTGGTCTTTCACCGACCTCACGGACACCTCCGCAAATGGTTCTCTTCTGCGTGCTCACCTCGGCTTCCTGGACATGGAAGGGCCCAGAATTCATTATCTACATTTCTAGGGAGTGCCTCCCCCCACCCCCACCCCCCAGGATTCCATGATATAAAAGGCCAAGGAGCAAACAAACACTGTGTCATGAATTTAGGAGTGGAATAGGTGAGAGGGGGACGTGAGCACCTAGATTAGTAAAAAGACAAGACGAAATTACAGACTATTTGTTTTAAAATACAGGGGTTGTTGTACACCTGAAACTAATATTGTATGTCAACTGTAAATGAAAAATAAATTTTTTTAAAAAGAGTAAAATAAATATATGGTTTTGTTACTTCCGAACACATAAAGCAACTAAGCTAATGAAACGCTATCTATCTGAGGTCATCAGGGGACTAGTTTTGAATAGATAGGAATGACTTATGAATAGCACATTAGTGTGTCTGTGTAAATGAAAGCTTCTGAAATGCTTAATGCCACTTGAAAACCTTCTGTTTAAGTCTGGGTTGCCATCATTCACTATTAATTTCTTTGTAAGCTCTTAGATAATAAAAAGGAAACTACCGTTTAGCCGCTGCCAATTTCCATGAATTTCAAACCAATCGAATGCAAGTTAACCAGGTATGACTTACTGTAGTTTGATTCAAGTACAGTGAAACCTCATTAGGGTTGTTCATTCAAAACAGCTGACACGCTGAGGCAGCCCATCATCCTTAAACTGTTTATCCCAAAGTACATATGGATAAAGGTAATTCAAAGTGGAAATTAGGTTTGGAGAGTGTCTGGCATTATTAAGTTGGTATCTGGAACATCTGTGAAGCACCTTGATTAAATCTCAACAGGAAGAAGGGCAGAGAGCTGGGAAATCAACCGATATCTTTTTTCTAACTTCCCACCCTCACTGACAAGTAATAAAGAAGCAGGTTGTTTTAAAAATGCAGGTTTCTGGGGTGTTCTGCAATCCTAGAAAATACAATGGCCAATTACAGTGCAGACTGCAGAACCATAATCAGCACTGAGGCTGAACTGGATTTCCAGAGCATGCAGAAAAAAGGGTCCATACTCCTGCACGAATCGATGATGCAAGGGATACTGGGACAGAGAAGGACAGAAATAGAACACGAGATAACTGAAAATAGGTTGCCTTTCATCTAATGACCTTAATTCGTTAGGTCATAAATTTACACTATAAAATACCTCCACAGACCTAACAGCACTTGGGATTTCTCAGTCGCCTTTTTGTACCCACGATACTTGACACAGAATAGGTCAATACTATTTGCGTCACAGAATTTTTTCCCCAACAGGGACATCTGGTATACTGTATCTACCAATTCCAGATATGCTTGAAGAAGATGATGACCAAGACCAGTACCTGTCACACGGACCCTGAAAGACCCCACACATCAGACATATAAATAAACCATAATGGCAGCAGAAACACAAGCTACTAATTTGCTGCTTTCAGATAATTCTAGTTTCTGGTCAGTGAATGTACCTGCACTAAAGAACCATCTTTAGCGTTATGTGCTTGTCCCCAATCCCGAGGCCAGCGTATCTACCTGTGGAGGAGGAAAGTGGGGTCTTTCAACTCTCCCAACCTCGTTTAGTCCATTAGAACTCTTTCAGGGGCACAATCCCATCTCCAGCTTGCTGAGGGAGCAGACACCCTGACACCTCTACAACCATGACCCCGCCCCATCCAGCTGAGCCTGAGAAATGTGCTGCCCCACGCAATCCTTGAGCTCCTGTAGGGCCAAAGTCCACGTTCTCTGCTTCCATTAACATGGGACACAAGAAGGCAGGCACTGGAACTTGGACATCCAGGTGGCTCTTGTTGCTCAAAAATCTTTTTGTTCATTTTGCTAATTTCCTGGTGCCCCTACTGATGCCACTGTTCTAAAAAGCCTCCTTCCCACTCCCCTTCTCGGCACACACCGCACCTCCCACTTCATAAAGACGTCAGCTGATGCAAGATTCCGACGTGTCAATGGTGCCCTCTTCTCCCATCAAAGCCCTCCACCCAAGCTCTTAGTCCCATCACTTTCAGCTCCTACAAACCCTACTCAGATGCTTATTTCCTCTCTCCTGCAGCTTTAATCCCACACCTTCACAAATAATCAGATCTTCCCTTTCTTGAAAATGCCTTCAAGTGACCTTGGCAGTCACTTGCTTCTGCCTGGTTTTCTACCTTATTTTTACCAATAAAGATCTGGCATCAGTGGCTATTTTCAACCCTTGTAAGTACATGGTGTTTGGATTCTAACCCTATCCCTCTACAGCAGGAGTCCCCATCTCCCAGGCCACAGACTGGTACCATGATCAGCCTGCGGGAAAGTGAACCTTCATCTGTATTTGCAGCCGCTCGCCAGCGCTGGCATCATGGTGTCAGCTCCACCTCAGATGAACAGGCACTAGATTCTCATGGGAACACCAGTCCTTGGTGCCGAAAAGGTTGGGGACTGCTGCTCTACATAAGCTGGTCCCTTAAAAAACTGCCTCCCTTCGCTTGTTGCCAAACCTGACAGCTTTCCGCCATTATGCTGTACCCCGACTTCTGGGCTATATTTAGACGCCCTTGTGAAAAATCCCTTCTCCTAGGGCCTCTAGATTATCTTCCTTCTTCTTGATTATCCCTCTCCTACTTCCTGCCTGCCAACGACGAGCGGCCTCGGTGCTCCTTCTGTGGTTCTCTGCCTTCCCGTTTGGTAAAGGAGGGAAGCACATCTGTTCCCGAGACTGCCACTGCTTCTTCAGTCCCACTAAATTCAACTACCTCTCGAGAGGTCCCATCTTACCCAAACAACAGGTTTAAACCAGGGCTGGCAAACTTCTGGAAAGCCCCAGATAAATATTTAAGGCTTTGTGGGTCACAAATGTTCTGTCACATATTCTTTGTTTCAGTTTAAGAGGTAATAACCAGTCTTAGCTCACAGGCTGTAATGAAATCAGGTCTGCCACATAATCTCTAACATGATCGCAGCTCTTGCAGCCCCAGTCTTGGATGCTAGCCTGCATATCACACTGCTGGACTACCTTCCTGTCACTATCAGTCCCTTCTTGGCTCACAAGCCTTTCTTGGTTTCCTAGAGTTTCAGGAGTTGCTGCCATAGCTGACCTGGAAGTCTGAGATACTCCACTGGACTGGACAACTGGACAGTTGAACTTCCCTGATTTTAACCATGAAACACTTGGTCTGGGAATCTGTAATTTCCACTTTCTTAAGTAAATCAAATCTGTTATTAATAGTAATTTGGAATGAGATATTAACAAAAACACAACTTTCAAAGGAATATACTCAAAATAATTAAAAAGCCAAGTTCAACAACAGCTTTTCTGGTTGGACCCTTTAAACACCAGTCTTCTGAGAGGTCTTTAAAGATGAATGCTGACTTGCAAAATCAGTTCCTGCCCACCTGATCTCTAGAGTGTTCCCTGTCAGGTGTCATCACGATACTATCGCTAGCTTTGCAGCTAGCTGTTCGAAGCTTTGGGAATGTTTGTGCTCGTGGCCGAGGTGGTTCACTAATTAATGTCTATTCCAAAGTGAGGCTGCTATACCCTGTCCTGCTAAAAGTTCTCTGATGAGAGCTGCTGCAGCTGGGTTCTGGCTACTCAGTCCTTTTTCTACATAAATTGTAAACAGAGCAGTTGCATAGCTTCCTCTCTACCTGATTTTAGAACGAGCAAGTACAGTTGACTCAATGCTGGGGTTAGGGGTGTCGACCCCCTGTGCAGTTGAAAATCCACATAAAACTTTTAACTCCCCCAAAATGTAACTGCTAATAGCCTACTGTTGAGAGGAAGCCTTACCGATCACATAAACGGTCAACATATTTAGTATGTTGAATATATTCTTATAATAAAGTTACAGAAAAAAATGTTATTAAGAAAATCATAAGGAAAATAATTTACAGTATTTACTGAAACAAATCTGCCTATAAGTTGACCTGCGCAGTTCAAGCCCGTGTTGTTCAAGGGTCAACTAACTGTACACTTCTACTTTGATGTTGGGTACCCTTTGGGTTCTTAAAACTCTAGTGCTTTTGAATTGTTTGGGTAAATACCAGGGGCTCCAAGTTCACTCAACAGGCTAATTTAGCAACCGCAGTTCCTTTACACGACTGTTAAGCAACCCCCTAATTTCACAGACCACGATATAAAGAAACAGATCTGAAAGTCAGGGGACTTGGCTTCCAGTCCAGCAGCTGTGCCACCTGGGGGACATCACCTTACCCTTAGGGCCTCAATTTCCTCATCTGCTAAATGAAACTGCTGGGCCGGAAGACATCTAAGGTCTCTGCCAAGACGAAAGTTCAGGATTCCTAGCCAACAACACAGACGCAATACGTTTAAAGTTGCGATTTATATTTCGAACCACATCTTCTTGGAGACTTCCTGGCTGCTGCTAACATCATCTCCCTCCTCTCCACTCCCACTGTACTGCGTAGCGCCCCACAACAGGAAGCAGCACATTCTGCCTTGAATTAAAACTGATACCTAAGTCTAGTCCTCAGCAGGGACTGAGAGCTTCCCGAGGGCCTGGGTCCTGCTCACCTCTCCACCCACGGTGGGGAGGGGTGCTCTATACCTGTTCACTGGATGCATGGCTGAATGTCCCTGTGACTTTCCACACCCTCCATATTCTCGCTCTGCTCCAATTATATAGTCAATCATGCTTTTCTGCCATTTCCGTTCTCTGTTCCTAGCTATGCTCCTCCCTGGTCCCAAAAACATGCCGGCTCGTGGTCACTCCCACGGCCTTGGCTCCCCACTGGTGCACCCCAGCCCTCTCCCTCCCCAAAGCCCATCCATCCTTTAAGGCTCTGGCACAATGGTATCTCTTCCATAAACTCTTCTGATGGATTCAGACTTCACTAAACAGCCACAGCACTTCTGGTGTAGATACTGGGGTTTCTGAATAGAGTCACGGCCTGGAGGACCGTAATAAAAGGCAAAACGGCAACAGATGCCATAGGAGTTTAGGAGACGGGGTGGCCATGCTGAATACCCCAACATGGCAAAGGAGGGAATTAGCGCTGAGGCCTACTATGTACCAGGCACTGTGTGTTTTCGTCTCGAAAATCCTTGGAGGCAGGTATGGTCATTTTCACTTACAGTGAGGAAACTGAAGGTCAGAGAGGGGAACTCATCCAAAGTCACTGCTGGTAAGTAGCCAAGTAAGGAAGTACACTGACCCCACGTGGCCACACTGACAGATGCATACATACACGGTGAGCAAGTGGCTGAACAGGAAGTTGACATTGTGTAGTTAGCTTCTTTGAGTAAACAACTTTTTGGAAACATATCAATGCATGCCTGTCTTCATGTCACTTCTCCATGGTCTTGGATGTTGCTGAAACTATAACACACCCACCAAGACCAGGCTCCGCTGAGGCTAGGACTTTGCCAAAGTCTTGCCATCTGCCTCTGTGTCCCTGAGGACTTCCTCACATTTGCTCAGGTCTTGGCTTAGTTGCTACCTTCCCTGCCCAGAGCACCTAACTCACTGCTCTTTACCCCACCAGCTTCTAGACTCTCAGGTCTGAAAGCAGAGACTGCATCTGCCGTGTTGACTGGTCTTCCCCAAAGCTTAGCACAGAGTCTAAATTAACAGGTGCTGAATAACGAACAGATGAGAACGGTCAGATTTATACCCCCCAGATGTCTGTCGGCTATAGATCCATACATCTGACGGCCTGTTGGTTACCCCCATGAGGGGGGATTTCTGTCCTACAGGCAGCTCAAACTCTGCATGGCCAAAAAGGAACATGGCACACTCCCTTACTCTGTCCTTCTCAACTTATTTCTTTACCTCCTACCAGACTGATAAACGCTGCTCTTCACTTCACTCCACTGCTCAGGCGAGAAATCTGAATGTCGTGCCGATGTGAGATAAATACTCTCTATCAGATCGCCTCACTTCAGCCCTGCTTGTGCCACCCCACCCCGGGCCCTGGGCACTTTTCCTGGGCACTTCTGTAAGAGGCTTCCAATCGGGCTTCCTGCCTCTAGTCTGTTCCCTCATCCCATTCCCCAAAGTGAAACCAGAGTGTGCTTGTGAGCTACAGCTTTCAAGAGCTCTTGACAAAGGCACACGAAGTCCTCCAAGTGGCCTTCGCCCATCTCTGCAGTTTTCTCCCTTCCTCTCATGGCTGCCCACCTCATCACCCTGAAGTTTCTAGTGCCTGCCTGTCCGTGTGTTACAAAATTGCTTCCTTTGTCTGAATGCCCCGGCCCTCCCCGCACTTGGCAACCCCCACCAGTTTGGCTCAAGCATCACCTTCAGGTTTTGGCTCCAAAGGGACCCGGCTGATTGCCCTGGCCCCTTTAGCACATTCACAGCGCCCTGTGCTTGCCTCCGGAGTAAGGATCCTGTTGAGATGACTGTCTGCTTTCTCAAGGTCTACAACCCCTCCAACTTACAAACTCCTGTCTTTCTCATCTGCAGGGCCCAACACAGCACAAAGGGCAGTGCAGGCAATCAGAGACCTGAACAAACAAGTGAACGTTCAGATATGATGGAAGACAGCTTTAGAATTTGAAATTCACAGGGCATGTTTGTGTCTTGTGAGGAGATCCTGGGCGGGAGCCAGGGGGTGGTGACAGGGAGAGCAAGACCCTGGCCCTGCCCTGGAACTCTGTGCTTCTGGACACAGAGTTCATCACCAAGGAAGAAGAAATCCCCATAACCCACTTACCTCTCACTGACGGCAAGATTCTGTTGCTTTAAAAAACCCAGAAAAGTGTTGAGGACCCAACTAGTCACTTTTTTGGGCTCTGCCCTAGTTTCTTTTATCACATTTTGGAAGAACTCCAGTAGGCCAACTTCATTCTGTAAAGAAAAATAAATTATATAAACCCCTCCAAAACTGAAAGATCAACATTCTGAAGACAAATCAAACTGCCGCCCTCTGCCTCCTGAGACACCGACTCATTCTTTCCTAAACGTGGAGATGTCACCAGAAAATTCTGATCACTTTCAGTAAATAGCAAGTATTCTTCTCCTGTCGCTACGTATTTACATAGGATTTTCTCAAAAGAATGAATGTATTTCGGAGCCTGACTTTATGGACCAGAAGATGGTGGAATACGCCATGCCCCCAACTCGCTCGCCCTCTCTGTGTCAGCCTATGTACACTGCATCCTTTAGCCTCAGGCCCACGACGTCTGGCCTGAGTTTACTGTCCTCTTTCCGAGGCTGTCCTCTGTTGGAAGTCTTAGTGATTGCTAGAATAAGAAGGTAAGAAGAAGAAATCAAGAAGGAACAAACAGAACATTCTACCTCTGAAAAAACAAAAGTGGATTGTAACTGTATTTATCTTCATACTGCCCCAAGAGGTGAGAGAAATGGTTTTCAAAATGGGTACACTTAATGGTAGAGGGAGCAACAGTTTTCAGGCCTTCAGAGCCAAGCTTGGCCCAGCCGACCCAGCCTCACATCTTGCTCCATGAAAACAAGATGGCTCATCAAGGAGCCTTGTTTGAAGAAGACTCTACTGTTGCTCCCCCTCTGGAGTCGGCTCCATGAGGGAGGGACCATGCTGTCCTTTCGCTCTTACCTAAAGCTAAGTCAGTGCTGGGCCATGGTAGCTGCTTGGTTAAGTATCAGTGAACGGAATCCGCTCACCATGTGGATTTGAAAAAAAATATATCACATGGGAATGCTCGTTCTTCATCATATCATGTGCACCTTTAACTATTAAAACTGCCACAATTATGCACTGGAGTAACTCCAAGGCGTCTGGTTAACTGCCAGCTCAGACCGACTTGGCAGAACCAAGAAATCTGGCTATGTCCACCCTCTTTTTCAGTAAGAAAAATAAAGATACGTTCTACTCACAAAGGGGAGGCTGAAGTTTCCAAATGTGGAGGGGACCTATTTTAAGTAGGTAAATTTCCCCAACCTGCTGAAATTCCAATCAAATCAAGCTTAACTTGAAATATTCCTTCTTATCTTGAAATATTCCTTCTTAACTTTATTCTGTAGGTAAGGCTCTCATCCTTGCTCCTTTCAGAGAACTTTCATTAAACGAAAGAACTTTCTGCAAGAATAATATACTAGGAAAAAGCAATACATAATAACAAAAGTGCTCTGAAATTTTGACTATTGTCGATGCTATAATATACACACAGGCACACAGTTGCTAAGGTAGAAATTCCATAATAAAAAAAATCTATGTGCCCCTTGTAACAGATAAATTCTGTGGTGACCAGCCAACTGAATAATCCCAGAATCATCTCCTGAATCTCTTTGCAAGCCAATGCTGTTATTCTGCTCCTGCTAACCCAGGGCAAAGGCCACATGAACAGCCAAAGCTTGACTACAGATAAAGGCAAATGCAGGCAGTAAGAGGAGGAAGTTCTGCTTAACTTATGGAAAAGTATTCAAACCTCCATGATGCTACACAAACCACTAGGGAAGTAGAAAACCACCATCTGGCCCAAATCACACAAGTAGAACTCCCTTTGTTCTAGCCCAAACAGGCTGGTCCGCTGGTGAAAAGAGCTGTCAGGAGAAGAACTCCCTGCTTTGCCAGGGAAAGGTTTTCTAAATCCACCTAGAAATATTGCACTTGAACTTACAGGCTTGGCTGAGTTGCTGGGATGTGATGAATATCTATTCTTTCCCCTTGGGTGGTTTTTGTATTGGATGAATAACATGGCAAGACAGATTTCTGTTTGTCTTTTCGTGTCAGTGCTGTGATGAAGCCTCTCTGAGCTGGAACCGTACTCCACTGGGGTATCCGTGGTTTCAGTACACAGTCTGAAGCAGACATGAAAATCTGCGATCGTGATAGGATGAGCTACAGGCAGAGGGGCTGAGGGAGGCTGAGCTGCTGCCGCCCAGAGAATGAGGGATCAATAAAAAGTCACACATGGGTGCCCGCTCTGGCTCTTTATATTAGAAACCCGCTTTTCAGGAAAAAAAACACACAGCATTCTAGGTAAAGTTGTCTTAGTTTTTCTGTGAGATTGGCAAAGGCTAGTAAGGTTGGCACAGATCTCAGAAGTCCCTGGTGAACATGGCAGTGCGGCCATCCGGTTTTCTCAGGAAAACAGTGGGCCAGTGATTCCCTTACATAAAAACCATTCTAAGAGCAACGCAGAAAGGCCACTGTATTAGGGGACCCTTAATGTCCTTCTCAAAGGCAACGAGCAAGCGTTTGACTCAGCGCTAATATACTCTTCATCAGACAGAGCTCAAACTGCAGCCACACAGTACGTCAAGTCTCCTGGCCAACTGTAACTCTAATTGTTCCTTCAGAGATAGCTAAAGCAGCAGGAACAACTGGTTCTGTCTTTCGGATAATACCAGACAGTCTTTACAGCTCTATGACCAGGAAGCATCCTTTTCACATTTTAATCAAATTTCCCAAAGCATTCAATTACATCCAGAGCCGATGCCAGGTCAGCCTCTTAGACGCTAACAGGGACCCTCCACCGCTAATGGATCTGTCAGCTGGTCAGTGCGGGTGTGAGGCAGACAGAGGGCCCACCTCGCCTTCACCGCCTGCTCTGGGAAGTGAGCCTGATTTACTTTTTCATTGGGCCCTGGAAGCAATGGGCTCCTAAGCTGTTGTTCGCATTCTGCCTTCAGAGATGATAAAATATAGGAAGACTATCCAGTTGGAAAAGGATAAAGGCCGATTTCTCAACTGCCATTCTTGTTCTAAGTCACACACCCAGTGAACCTGATAGGGATGAAATTAGCTGAACTATATTTGGAAGTAGAATGTAACTTGATAAAGACAGATTCCCAGTGGCAGATTCAGAGAAGAAAAAGTCCACAAAGTATAAGCTGGAGAACAGCTGGTTATGTGGCACAGCGTGACCTGGCAGCATAGGCAACCTAGGTTAGCAATCCGGGTGAGGTAAAAGGCTTTCAAGAATATTTCCAGAACACTTATGAGACACAGAGATCAGCGGCCAGGCCTGTGGGGAACCTCACACAGTTGCTGCTGCTGCTGCTGCTGCTAATGATATTAGTGAGTTTTAACAGCAATGACAGCTTAGGACAGGTGCCGGGCACCGTCCTAAATGCATTCTCTACATTAACTCATTTAATTCCAACAATGAGCCTATGAGGAAGGTACCAGAAAAACTCTCCTTTACAGACAAGGACACTGAGGCACTAACTTGCTTAAAGTCGCACAGCAAGAAAGAAGTAGAGCTAGGATTTGAACCACTACAGTCTATGCTTTTAACCTCCACGTTTCGATGTCTCTGAGGAAGGAAATGTCACATGCCTGCCTTCTTGGGGACCGATACCAGTGCCAGGTATGATGTGAAGCAACCTGCTCATCAAAAGAATGCCCTTTCCCATCACTTCCATTATTTTACTTCATACTGTCAGCTGTTCAAAGGTTCTTAACACATTAAAAATGTTGCAAAGGCCCTCAGCAATTAGCTTAGAAATTAGAGAAAATGACAAGTTCACTTTCCACTTTTGCCAATGTACACTAGACCATGTGGCATCCTGCTGTGGCAGGACACACACCTACTCCCAGATCAAGGAGGAAGACAGTGACACCCTTCCCCACCCAGAGCATCTCTCCCACATCCCCTCCACACACTTCCTCAGAGAAGTTACAGTGAACATGCCCAAACTAGGACACCATCCAGCGCCTTTTGACATCCATCACTGGTAAACCCCACTGCGGCCTGTAGTCTGGGCATTAAGCGCACTGCATTTTACTGAGCTCCAACTGCTCTCATCCAGGTGACTCATGTGTGGCTTTGCACCTAACTGGACAGGTCATGCCTACGATGGGAGCAGCTGACTGCACAGGAGACCCCACATCTGTGGACTAAATGACAGTGGCTTCAACTGGGCAAGACTCTCATATGTCATGACATGTCATTTTGTGGAGGTGCAACCTGGAATTGCATCCATCTGCTGTGTGTGGTGGGGCATTAGGGTGGGTATCCACTGAGCATTTCTGGAGACACTGTAAGAAGGCCCAGCATGTGCCTGATGGGGGCTCTGCTGTTTCCTCATTATGCCTGTGAATTTGGTCATTCTAACAAAGAGAGAAAAACAGAATGCAGACCCACCAACTT